TCATGAGGCACCAGAATGACTAGAATGACTAGACTCAATACGACTCGTGGGGTCTTTAAGTGAAGCGAGACAGTGGACTCCAAGAAAATTGATACTTCCCATAATTTTAAAAGGTATTTCTTCTTTTTTTTTCTCTATATGCTGATAGCCTTCAGAGGCCTATTTCAGCTTCGCCCTAACATGTAGGTGAGCGCATGGAGCTCAAACCGGAGTATTGCTAACACCGGCCCTAGCAAGAGCAGTGCTTCGCAGAATCTACCACCGGATCGGAAACGCGACCCACTGAGAAGATTCGGCGAGAAACTCAGTGAGCGTATTTATCAAAACGTCCTTCTTATAACCAATTAAAACATGAACGGAAGACCTAATAACCGTAGATAAACCACATGGATGCAGCAATTAATTTGAAATAGCGTTGTATAAATTAATTATAGTCGCCTTTATCACAAGGAAATTCGGTTGAACAATCGAACGTCAAGTAGGTATTTTTGACGTGACAGCGTCTTATAATTCGATGGAGCCGGCTGCACGCACGAAAAAACATGACTCATGCGGCGTTATCTCGCTCTGAGGCGTTCCATTTAAGGCTTAAAGTGCAAGCGAGAGCGCGCAACGAGCGACAAAGAGGCATAATCGGCCTCCGCGTTCGGTAGCGTTCGACATCTGTCTCTCTCCTACTTGAGAGAGCGATGCATGCGCGTGGACAGCTGCTATACAAGAATAAATTTACATGTTTTCGTCAAGTATAAAGTTCAGTGAAAAGTGAATGTGGTGTCAATTGTTTATAGCAACGATAATTGCGATAATTGAAAAATGGAACCATTCCATCAGTATTTTCTTATGGCGTTGTCACGTTCAACAATCGTCAGTAAACCGACTTTACAGACAACCGATTTTTTTTTCCTTTAATTTACCGTTTTTGGTTAATCACACACTTAGGTATTTCAAGCTGCCAATACATAATATTCCTTATTTATTGGATGTTTTTAACCGAATATTGCAAACTCAATACATTTATCATTATGCTATTTGCCGCACCCCATTGAAGTGTTACAGCTCAACTTGTATTACAAAACATCTAATCTATACCAAACATTTTGGGATGGAAAATGGCGCAATTAAAAAAAAAACTGGGAATTTTTTTCTTCAGTTTTTTTTTTCAACTATCCGGTCATCGTTCTCGTCGAACCCGTCGCTTGCGACGAAGGGCTTTTAGCGAGTAAATTAACCTATAGGCACAGTCCACTGAGTTTCTTGCCGGATCTTCTTAGTGGGTCGCATTTCTAACCCGGTGGTGGATTCTGCGAAGCACTGCTCTTACTAGGGTTAGTGTTAGCAACGTCATTAGGTTTGAGCCCCGTGAGCTCACTTATTCTAGTATAATCCCTCGCGGTTGCTAGAATAGGTAGGAAAACCCTAACCTTTCCGTTTAATGTTTGTAATCCGAATAGCTTAGAGAAGACACTTTTGCAAGAAAATGTGATACTAACAATTAATTTCGTAGCAATTAATATTGACCTGAAGCTATGAATTTCGATCGAAACAATTTTAAAATAAACGAGCTTCATTAGGCAACCTCAAAAGAATATTGTCCACTTGATGCAAAGGTCACGACGCCCTTGCGTATTGAACATTTGCAATGTCAAAATAAACACGGTGCCGCATTAAAAAAAAAGAACACTATGATAGTAAACTGCGATTCCAAAATAAGAATACTACATTGGTCGTGTTCACGTAAATTAAAACACTCAAATAGAAACAAACCATTAATGGCTACATTAAAAAAAGTCAAAGGCATTTAAGTAGGTACACGAGAATTAAAAATATTAGTCTAAGAACATAATCTTTAAAATGTAGGTAATAAAACCATTATTTGATAAATATAAATAAAGCATGGCCTGCAGCTCAGGCATTGTTTATACTATGAACTAAAAAACGTATGTATTCACTGAACCGGCCAAACAACCGAAAAAAAAACTTATACACACATTCACTTCACATTAGAAATCATAACTTTTCATAGCACTATCTCATTTTTGTACAAGCAAAACATAGATTTTAGAGTAATTTTTTCAAAACTTTGATTTCAAGGTTATTGAACGCGTGTAGGCGTGCAGTACGCACTGAGTTTTGTTTCTCACTGGCGGTGGCGAGTGGCAAGTGGCAAGTGGCAGCGCTGTTAAATATTCCTAAAGTCTAACTAAACATGTAATAAGACCTTAGTAGGGCGTATTGCATTCGTTTGTAATACTGTGAATTTGTTTTGAATTAAAACTGCATAAGAATACTAAATTAAGATTGTGTTAAATTTGTGTATTTTTGTGTTCGACCAGAGCCCTTAAAAATCTTAACGTGAATGCAGTCGCCAATCTTCAGTCGCGAAGTCGCCAGCATTACATCATGCAAATACTACGGGGAAGTTTGCTCACCGAAATTCATAAATGTTGCTCGTCTTTATTTATTGCAATGCAATATAAAGTAAGCCGCTAAAAACAGATTCAAATTGCGGTTATTTTTTTGACAACGTTTTGAAACGGTAAGATTGATAATAATCTAAGAAAAAAAATATTAATAATTCACAGATCAACAAAAGCCATAGTGACGCCATCTAGTTACAAACATTGCAAAAAGGCTACGTACCTTAACATTCTTAATATTTGAGATCGCCACAAATATGATCTGTGACAAGATAAAATTACCGCGAAAAGAAATAATATTAAAATAGCAACTTTAATACTGCCTAAACAAATTAATTCACAAAGTAAGTAGTTTAAACGAGCTAGATTATACTTTGCTATTGTGTTTGACCCCGTATTATCGAGGGTTGAAGGAGGCCGACCGCCCCCAGAGACTGAAGGCTAAAGTTTTATGAAAAACCGTTGAAGACGTACACGGCCTATCTTTCATCTCATAAACGCCTCACACCGCGTACAGTTCACTTAAAACCAAATGATGGGACCGCGGATTGGCGCGAAAACCACAAATTACGATTACTTGTTTCTGTCACCAGCGGCGTCTGAACATATTAAGTGTATAATCTATGGCGTCTGAAGGCGCAATCAAAGGTTCTAAATTTCAAGCGCATAAAGATATTAAATATGGCATTCATTCGGTATATACAACTGAGTCACTCATAAATCACATTATTCATTGTGCTCGTAAAACCTGAAATGGTTTTGTTCTGGTGTGGCGACGTGCGACGTGTTTTAGTTGTTTCGCTGATAATAATTAGTTTGTTTATCTATAAAACATGTCATAAAGACGATTCTCAATTAAAAATTAAACCTTTAATGACTAGGAGTGTATAGCTATCTTGACAACTTTAGATTTATGTAAGAGTGGTGGTGGTAGGACCTCTTGTGAGTCCGCACGGGTAGGTACCACCGCCTTACCTACTTCTGCCGTGAAGCAGTAATGCGTTTCGGTCTGAAGGGTAGGGCAGCCGTTGTAACTATACTGAGATCTTAGACGTAATATCTCAAGGTGGGTGGCGCATTTACGTTGTAAATGTCTATGGGCTCCAGTAACCACTTAACACCAGGTGGGCTGTGAGCTCGTCCACCAATCTAAGTAATAAAAAAAAATAAAAAAAAGAGTAATATTTTTTCTGCCTTATTCGTCCCTTCCTTATCTTCTAAAGTCTATGGCCCTCCTCGCTGGTAAAAACTGACAATGTTCGCTGGCATGCCTATACTTAAAGCACTACAGACTGCCGAAGATTGTGACACGTGGTGGTCAAAGAACACTTCAAAAGAGTCTTCAAACTAGACACGACCTTCAAAAATTATTAGACTGACTCGGTACAAACTGGTGTATTCAACGCGGATATTTTTCCACTAGCTACAGAATCATAAAAGAGTACTTCAACATAATTTATTTACTAATTTCATATTTCCCCACGCATCGATTAAGTCACAGTTTCTGAATACCTACGTCTAAATTAATTTTTATCATTAAACGTTCTAAATTTAGGAAAAAAAAAAACAAACAAACCTCTTCAAACTTATTGTTTCGAAACATCTCTAAATACTGACGGTTTTGTTCGTGATTTCACACGACAGAGGCTTTTGGGTGGGCGTCAGCTGATAAGGTTGTATGACGTAAAACTTTGACCGCCACTAAAAAAGTGTGAAAAAAATGTGGCACATTCTTTTTTTACTTTTATCATCCGGTTGTTATATTTTTATTCTACTACAGTATTATATTAGAAAATAAGGGGTTTTATTTGGTATTCGCATAAAAAATTCGATGTTATTAATTAAACTTCAATTAAGTTTACTCCATTCCAATAGTTGAATAAGTATTTTTGTTATGATATTTTTTCCAAATTCTTAAATTTATATGTCTCTCCTGTAAAGTTTCAAAAATGGCGCTTAAACATAATAGCTTTTATTATTACCGACGTTTCTTTGAAATGGTCGATGGTGTATTTCTATAACCATGCCTAAAAATGGAACATAAAATTTTATATCATTTCACACTATCGTATTGAAGTAACTGATGCAGCTAAGATCCACCTTCTGAGCGGTGAAAGCACTCTTCGCTAAATAACTTATGTCAAGTATGTAATTTTTTTTATTTCCGTTTTTATTTATTGGGTGGACCAGCTCACAGCCCACCTGGTGTTAAGTGGTTACTGGAGCCCATAGAAATTTACAACGTAAATGCGCCGCCCACCTTGAGATATAAGTTCTAAGGTCTCAGTATAGTTACAACGGCTGCCCCACCCTTCAAGCCGAAACGCATTGCTGCTTCACGGCAGAAATAGGCGGGGTGGTGGTACCTACCCGTTCGGATTCATATGAGGTCCTACCACCAGTAAAATTAAATTTAAATTAATGGCTACAAGCTATCGCTAGACATCAGCTAGTGTCTGAAATGAAGAAACAAAGAAACCTACAACTGAAAACCCTCTCTCTCTCCTTCTTCAATCCACAAACCAGTACTTTCCAAACCAGAATAAATCCGATATACACATAAAAACACATACAAACTCTTACCTGATCCTTGTCTTCCTGTGATTTTGGCCAAAGAGTAACGTTCAGAACGATTTCTCCCATATCCTGGTGCGGCTTGTTCGGGTCTCTCAAGCAAAGGACCAGGTCTTGCATCCTTCCGAGCTCTAACGCTGTCAGGTCTAGGTTGCACGAGCCCATGAAATCGTCTTGCAGACCCCAATCGTAATCGAACACCTGAGAGGAGATTTTAATTAATCAAATTACCACTTTTTACCCATAATATAAGTTGAGGAATGATAGTAATTAGAATCAGTTATCTATACTAATACTATAAAGAGGAAAGATTTGCTTGTTTGTTTGTATTGAATAGGCTCCGAAACTACTGAACCGATTTGAAAAATTCTTTCATTGTTTGCTTTCATTGCTACACTATTCCCGGGTGCCATAGGCTATAATCTTTTTTGGAAAAAATTAGGGATCCTTACTAAAACTCTAATAATGTAACCTAAGGTGTAAAAAAAGTACCTAAATTATTATTTATATCGCGTGCCCTGCGAAAACTATTCATGATAGAATAAAATAATGTACTACGACTTTGTAGAAAACATTATTATTTACAAAAAGTGTCGCGACAGCATATGTCTAACTATTATAGTTATGTCGCAATAAGTGTTCTTTTATTTAAAAAAATAAAACAACGTCAATTAACGTTGAAATTTTTGTTAAAGACCCGAGCGGAGCCGGAGCGAGCCGCTAGTAATATTATAAAGCTGAAAAGTTTGTTTGCTTAAACGCGTTAATCTCAGGAACTACTAGACCGATTTGAAAAATTATTTCAGTGTTAGATAGCCCATTTATCGAGAAAGGCTATAGGCTATATAAAATGACGCTAAGACCAATGCAAGTCGGTTAAAAAAGTCGTGATTTTGGTAAAATAACTCCTTAACATTCAATTATTCAAAAATATTTTCACTTTCTACGTAAATGAAGAGGCGGGTAAAATTTAGCGTTATGCCAAAGTAACTATTCCACGCCGACAAAGTCGCGGGCAAAAGCTAGTTATCTATATAAATAAACAAATTTTAAAAAGTATCTCACGCGAATGACTCGCTTTGTACAAATAAGTGATACCTGTAAATCAGTTAACAGTGCATACTCGCCAAGTGGGGTACTTAGAATTTAGAGACACATTTGAAATCCCCTAATACCTCTTCAAGCCTTAAATATTCAATTTTATTCATGCTGTGCGAGCATAGTGTTTACTTTGAATGATTATTGTAGACGATACGATGTTTTTGCGTCAATTCTCTGACCAGATGAACGAATTCCAGACTGAATGAAGTCATTCTGAATTGAAAATTAGGGTCCTTAATTGAGGCAGGGATTTAATCAAACGTAATTATGTTGGCTTGTTACTCTTTCGACTCGACATTTACTTACACATCAAGAGCGTTTAGCAAATGAAATGTAATTATGTTGCCTCATAAATATTGCGGTCGAAAATTCAACAGTATAGCGCATCTGCTTAAAAAAAACCCGAAAGCCAAAACCCAGGGCTGTAACGACAAAAATAATAAAGTGGTATCTACACTATCTATTACTGGTGGTAGGACCTCTTGTGAGTCCGCACGGGTGGGTACCACCACCCTGCCTATTTCTGCCGTGAAGCAGTTATGCGTTTCGGTTCGAAGGGTGGGACAGCCGTTGTAACTATACTGAGACCTTAGAACTTATCTCAAAGATTGGGTGGTGCATTTACGTTGTAGATGTCTATGGGCTACAGTAACCACTTAACACCAGGTGGGCTGTGAGCTCGTCCACCCATCTAAGCAATAAACAAATAAATAAAAACGTATATCTCTCAATGCGCCCTATTAGCCATGAATCTTCATACTACTACTAGATTACAGCGTGTTAGTATCTGTGTACTCATTTAGGTAAAAAAAACTAACAATTGAGAGGATAGGATGAATAAGCTCCGGGGTAGCTTGTTACCTCAGGGAGCGGTTGTATGTGCAATGAACCCGACGCTGTCAGAAAAGCAACACCGACAAACCCCGTGATCCCAAATCATGGTCCCAAACCCGCGGTGGTAGCACGATTTTCACCGATTCTGCTGCCTGTGTCTTTTATAGCTTTTTTTAATTGCCCTTACAGGCAGACGAGCCTTGCAAAAGACGGCCCACTTGATGGTGAGTGGCTATGTCGCCCATGGACTTCAGAAATGTGAGGGGCAGAGCCAAGCCGCTGCCTACCGTTAAGTACTCTCCACAAGCCTCGTTTGAAGAAGGACGTGTCATAGGGGTCGGGAAACACCGTGGAGGGGAGCTCATTCAAAAGCCGGATGGTACGTGGCAAAAAGATCTCAAAAGAGAACTCTACTGCGGAGGCGGGCGGTGCGATGGTAAAAACGAGATGATGAAATAATTTCAAACAATTCTTCAGAGCACATAACTCGAGCTTTTTAAGAGCTTTAAGCTAGTTTGTCTGAAATCATCATAAAATAAGCTCACCTTAATCTGCACAGGTTGGAAGGGATCTTCAACAGGCACCGTAAAACATTCATCCCAAACAGGATTCAGATCTCGGTAAACTATTCTTGATTTGTGCAATAGTCTTCCGCCGGCTTTGAATTTCACGTACGGATCGCTTGTTCCTGATAACAATCCTGTTTTTGGAACCCACAAAAACCCAAATTAGATAAAAAGCCGAAATAAATCAGAACTCTAGAAGCCAGCTTGGGGATACTAGGTAGCTAGACTAGGTATCGATTTTACTCGCAACTAATAGCGCGATGAGTATTGTCGATCGATCTTTAAGATATTCGTAAAATATTTTCAGCTCTTAAGAGGACCAGCGGAAAACCAAATTAGACACAAAAATACACTAAACATATACTATGTATGTATGTTTACTTAAAATATCAATTTTTGGCATCACATTAAGGCTAGCGTAACAATATTGTCCCAATTTAGTATATGTAAATGTGACTATAGTAATATATTAATTACAAAGTCTTACATTACTTAGATTTAACAAAAAGGTGGAGCCTTAAGTGATCAATCGTATTATTTTGATTTATTCCAATTTCCATTATTAATAGTTCTAAAAAACTTTAACCTATTAGATATCTAAGCTATACCTACTAGTTAATTGTAGTAGATACTACTTAATATTTGATGTGTTTTCAAAGTGAGCCTTCTAGCTTAATTTGGATTCTAAAAGCCGAAGCCAAGCGGTTGGGTCATAAATTATAAATGTAGATAAATCAAATAACGTGCAAAATAATAGCCAAAACATTGTGTAGTGTGTTTATGAGGATGTGTAGTGAAGCAAATAAATAAATTTTAGATTCAGATTACGTTCTTTTTTTACCTTTTCTTTTTTTTTCACATTCTTAGGAGCACACAAGATTTAATTTACGTAACATTTTAAAACTATTATAAAACTCCTTTTTGTACGGAATTTGTATTCGAAGAAACTTAAAAATTCCTATCTTTATATTTATTCTATAAATTTTACCCGATTTTTTTTTTATTTTTTTATTACTGTAGGCCGAAGTGTCTTCATCCAGCCTGAGGCGGGCCAGCAGACAGGGACGAGATTAACAATAACATTTGAATAATATTAGAAATTGTGTTTTAAGTTTATAATGTGGAATGCCTTGGTGTTGCCTGTGCAGATGCAGTGTTGCTGTTGAAATTAGTTTAATTAGAAATAATGAATAATTTTAATTAGAATTTTTTAAATAATACTAAACAATCAATAGTCAAGTATTAACTGTGATATAACTACCCCTAAATAAATTTCTTTGAATGGAGTTTAAATCCGTAAAACTTGCAAATAAATAATACCTAATTGGTATTAGATTCTAATGATTGTCAATGCTTAGATAAGACGTCTTACTTTTCGAATTATTTAAACTAACAATAAGTTATTTTTTTATTATTATTATTCTTAATTATCTACTTAATTAGAAAACTTGATATTTTATTTTTTATTTTTATTGTATTATACGAACATGGAAGTTATCTGGTGCAAGTGTGTGTGTTCTTTAAGTGGAGTAATATGTAATGAGGATCTACTTTTTTGGAGACATCTCATTATAAAAATGAAATAAGTATTTAATAATATCGTAACACATTCTCAACCGCTAGATTGTAGTATTAAAATCACGGAGCATCTAGGAGTCATAAAGTTTTTTTTTTGTTTGTTTTTATTCCAAAAAAGTGTATACTCAAACGCACGTGTGTGTGTGCGTTCATTCATCTCTCAAATGTCATTTTACCATTTTTGTCCATTGCCAACAGATTTTGTCCTCTTTTCAAATGAATCCTCAGTTGGAAGAAGGCGTACTGCCTAAGATGTTGCTCTCTAAGCCTTTGTGTTTCGTCTTGTTCCTGTGAATGCAATAAATGCTTTAGTTTGAAAATAGTTTTTTTTATTGCTTAAATGGGTGGACGAGCTCACAGCCCACCTGATGTTAAGTGGTTACTGGACCCCATAGACGTCTACAACGTAAATGCGCCACCCACCTTGAGATATAAGTTCTAAGGTCTAACGTATAGTTACAACGGCTGCCCCACCCTTCAAACCGAAACGCATTACTGCTTCACGGCGAAAATAGGCAGGGTGGTGGTACCTACCCGTGCGGACTCACATAAGGTCCTATCACTAGTAATTACGCAAATTATAATTTTGCGGGTTTGATTTTTATTACACGATGTTATTCCTTCACCGTGGAAGTCAATCGTGAACATTTGTTAAGTACGTATTTCATAAAATAAGAATAAATAAAATAGATAAAATAAGATTAAGATAAGAATAAAACTTATTCAGGAAATCGATAGTTCTGTGACATTTAAAACCAAAAAACATAATACAATGAATTTTGTTTTTAAACATGTGACATTAAAAGCCCGAAACTGCTTAAACCAATTAAAAAAATACGTTATTACGAATAAAATGTAAATATAAAATTCACAACCACGAAATTTTGAGTTGCTTAACCAGCGCCTTCTCAAGTTTTATAGCAACTTCGACAATTTATTGCTATTCTTAATACACAGGGATTTGTTTAAATTAGACATTGCAGCATAATAGTCGATTCATTCATAACCCGTTGTATTATTGTGTAAGTTTCACAATTTTATTTCTCTTTTACCGAAACATCAGATAATTTTGACAGTTTATTAGAGACACATATGACTGTTGCTTCATTATGCATATTATGTATTGTTACGCGCTAGACATCCCTAGAATTATCGAGAATATTCTACACAAGTCAAGTATTGTGTGTTACCGCTATCTGACAATAGATGGCGTTGTACTACTCGATATTGCTCGACGTTACGAGTTCCTTTGATATTCGTTTCGGCTATTCGGCGATAGATGGTTACTCTTACCGGCGTAACAATATATCTTCTTCTATCTTTCAGCCCACAGACATCCCCTGCTGGAAATATTATAATTTTGTGCCATGTTTACATTAAATCCATCGCATTTATTGGGCTATTGAAAAAAAAGCCGCCAATTGTTCAATACCTTAAATAGTCGTTAGATAAAGTAGTAAATTGCTAAAAGTAGAAACGTTACTCATATTTAATTAGTAGGTTTGTACAGTTTATTGAACAAACAGAATTTTTTGTTTGTTTTTGTTAGACGAACTCATTACCTTTCTGCTGTTAAGTAAATACTGGAGCCCCTAGAGATAAGTTTTAAATGTCAGTATTATATTACAATGCCTGACCCGCCTTTCAAACCGAAACCCATTACAGATTCACGATAGAATTCACACAGACGCTCTACCACCAGTAATTACGCAAATCGTTTCATCATTTTTATTACGCGATGCTATTCCTTCACCGTGAAAGTAATTATCAGAAACAAGAACATTACATAACAAGCATGGAAGAAAATTAAAACCCATAACAAAACCCGATTCTAATTGTAAAGGTTTTAGCCTCAGACAGCTCAGCATGACGGGGCCGAGCTGGTCCAATGTTGATAAACAAAATAATATCCAACAAGACAGCGATAAAATTAGTCCAAACAGCTGTACACTACACAATAAAAAGCTCAGACCGTATGAAGCTAAGCTTTCATCCTACTTAGAAAGAAAACTTTCCATCGCGAAAGATACCCATGCTCTGTTTGTGTCTTGAATGGGTATAAGCATTCGCATTTCGTAGGATAAACTTAATTATCTATTTATTTATCATGGGTGGCCAGCTTGATCAGAACCAATATCTACGATTTACTGACTAAGCCCTCTACGATTTATCAATGACATTAGGTACTTGAAATTTAAAATAAGTTTAAAATATAGCAGAAATAGGCAGGGTGGTGATACCTACCTGTGCGAACTCACAAGACGTCCTACCACCAGTAGGTTGCCTTTTTCTTACGGTGTAAGTTCTATGTATTTATATTTATTGCCTTGTCAGTACATGACTAGACTGCTATATATTGTTACGCCGGTAAGAGTAACGTTATCTATCGCCGAATAGCAGAAACAAATATCAAAGGAACTATTAACATCGACAACGCTCGATAAGTACAACGCCATCTATTGTCAGATAGCGGAAACACACGTCGAAGCTGTTCCACTTGCCCAGAATGTTCTCGATAAATCTAGGGATATCTTATCGACTATAAAAGCGCTATATTAAATTTTTACTGGTGGTAGGACCTCTTGTCAGTCCGTACGGATAGGTACCACCACCCCGCCTATTTCTAACGTGAAGCAGCTATGCGCTTCGGATTGACAGGAGGGGCAGCCGTTGTAACTATACTGAGACCTTAGAACTTATATCTCGAGGTGGGTGGCGCATTAACGTTGTAGATGTCTATGGGCTCCAGTAACCACTTAACACCAGGTGGGCTGTGAGCTCGTCCACCGATCTAAGCAATAAAAAATAGATAAAAAAAATTGCATTAAATACACCATTTCCATATGGTCATGGTGGAGTAGCTAAATCAGATAACAGTAAACCTTACCAACTGCATTAATTCTGGCGGAGGTCTCGGGTGGTGGTGAGGAGTGCTTGACGTCGATGGAGCGGGTTCCGTCGACACTTGCCTCGACAAGTCTGCTGACAAAAGACCACTTGAGTTAATTGTGTGTGCGATCTTTTCGTAGCAACACAACGAAGTTTCGACTTTATGAGTTTTTTGTTTGAAAAACGTTAGTATTTTAAATTCACGATTTAAGCGATGTTTAATAATAAAACACAAACGTAAGACAAATTTTGTAATCTATCTATTTATATATATAAAAATGAATTGCTGTTCGTTAGTCTCGCTAAAACTCGAGAACGGCCGGACCGATTTGGCTAATTTTGGTCTTGAATTATTCGTGGACGTCCAGAGAAGGTTTAAAAGGTATATAAATATGAAAATGCTCGGAATTAAATAAAAATAACAATTTTGTTTTTCCCGTCTCCCGTCGGACGGATTCCTTTTGCCTTTTGTTTTCGATTGAGGCACTACGAAGTCTGCCGGGTCAGTTAGTTATATTTATAATTATTGATTAGTATTCAGGCCGATGTGACTGTCCCGATTTTGTAGAATATTGAAATTCTGTCATTTTCATTAGCGCGATTCAGACATTTGGCCAATTCTTCCATCCTATTTTTTTTTTGTCAGAAGGAAATCGCCGAACTGACTAAAACCTCCTGTCGCTCAACAACCAACGTCCAAACCTCGCATGAGACAGAACTCATGAAGAGGCAGAGGGGGGAAAGTGAAGCGTTTAGTGCGGAGCACATCTCTCCCATCACCCTCCCCCTCGGGACGCCGGACCGATGGTCGTCGGCGCCACGACCACCAGCCCTCTCGGTATCCTATGATACCTAGCGTAATCAGATAGCATTTCTGTTAATGTAAGCACGTAGTGGAGTTAGTTATTGCTACGGAGAACGTATTCGATTATAATTTATTTTTTTGAAACATTTCCTCGCATTACTCGCAAAGGAATACCAATAGAAATGATTACTCCAGAGAATGCGTAGACCCGCTACCAGTTTCGTATTATTATTCAGGTTTTTTTTCTTCAGATTACCTTAACCAAATATTTTATTGCCGTTTTGACACAGAGGAAATTGTTTTACGCCCTCATTAACTCCAATAATTACATGCTTGTTTTTATGTTACTTGTAAGCTCAAACATCACTTGATCGATTGAGTTTACAAGCTTTTTATTTCGATACATTACTAATACCGCACACATAAAACTATTAAAGAACATCTGAGCAATAAAGCCAATGATTATCTAGAAGATTGCACAAAGTGGGAATGAGTTGCTCGCTTCGGGCATTTCAATATTGCTATAATTGTTAAGTTATAATACATCTTGTAAAAATGAATATTTAAAAAAAATATATATTTAAAAAAAAACATGCCCGCTGAGTTTCTTGCCAGTTCTTCTCAAGACGGAGGCTAGTTTTTGTCAATTGGCGGTAGTTCTTTTTGACGTTCAACAAGTGTGTACTTTCATTTTTCATGTTGAAAAAAAAAACAACTTGATTTTGATTTGATTTCATTTGATTTGATATACGTTAACATAATAATACACTGTTACAAAATGCTTCACGCCGACAATTTCCACGGACTAATCATCTAGTGGCACGCGAAATAAACCAGTTTCGCCGTAACATAAACTAAATGGATCAACGTTTATATACGTTCTAGTGTGAGCAGTAAAACTTTAGTTGTCCCACGGGAGGCTGTAACTCAGATAAGTACCATTACCGCATGAAACTTCGGGGCCAGAAGTCACAAACGCTTTTCTTCGTTGCTGTAAGTAATTCATGAAACAATTCTCAAAGAAAGTGATTGGGCACAAACAAAAAGTAAATAAGCTGAAAATATCTCGTGCGCAAACGATCCATCAGTACTTAAATATTTTCAGTTGGCAATGGTGCGTCATTTTGAAAAAGCGGCACGACACAAAAAAACCCTTGTCGTGGCGTCGGTAGCTACATACCCGATCCTGTGGACCGAATGGTAAGCAGTTCACGTCGCCTTAAGCACGTCATTCCGCATCCTCCCGATCCACTAACGGTGCTTTTAGGTACCTCAAGCACCGGTCATCGTTCTCGTCGAAGCCGTCGCTGGCGACGAAAGGTTCTTTCTCAATTCGAACGTTTTTTTTTTAATGTGTTACCTAACATTTCTTTTGGGTATCGCAAAGCTATTACTTTTCGAGTGGTCCCATTTAAATTTCATTAAAATCGGTACTGATTTTTGATCTCATTTTTGTTTAAGTCAATTTTCTATTTTGTAATTTACATAGTTTGAACTTTTCCAAGTCACGTATGGTAATGCGTAAATCTATCCAAGTATCGAACTCCCGCTGTGTGCGATAACATCATAATTTACTCTCGCGAACATAATATCAAATTACTTGTCGAAAGCAGAACATTAACTCCATCTCATTGCTGTAAAAATACTGTGTTTTTTTTCCGCATCGCTTAGATGGATGCACAAGCTCATGGCCCACTTGATGTTAAGTGGTCACCGGAGGATAGATATAGACACCATAAATACGTGTTTTGGGCGACGTCGACTGCTTTCCATTCTGTCCGCAGGATCGGGAATGCGGGTAAGCCGCCCCGACAATCCGTAGACCCCACGTGGGGTTGGCCAACCGCCTCAACCACGACTAGAAATATAAAGACCCCATTTGAAAATTTTGGTGGACTTGTAATATATACGAAGTAATTACATGTTTATTTATTTATATATTTATGTCTCCACTGAAACTGTGGTAGTGAGAATCCATTAAATAAAAGTATGTAAAATTCATTTATAAAAAACCTTAAATTTATTTCATTCTGAAATTGAACAAGAACTCTGAACAAAGCGTTGCATAATCACTAAAATAAATTTCAGATAAAGCGACAAAGGATGTCTATTTCCGGCTTCCTTTCCGGATAAAACGGAGGCAATCGGTAACGTTGATTTGAGCTATATTAACGAAGAGACTACGTAGTTTTGTGGAATAAAACCACAAAATGAAGTACCGATATATTAAATTGACCACTTAATTATTATCTACATAATGTACTCGCCTTAATATTGTCGTCAGCAAGAAACACGATTTATACCTAGTCAGGTCATAAATTCTGCCACATGTTTAATGTAAAATAATTGAAACAAGTTTATTCATTATGTAACCATTCATATACCAAAATGAACTTAACAAAACATAGATTCTTATGACCCTAAAGTTTATTCAAAATGACCTCCGTGATTTTGAATACAGGCCTTCAATCTGCGCGGCCAGTCGTCTATCGCAGCACGAACGAGGTCCATGTCAATATCGGCGGCTGCCTTAATCAAGGATGTCTTGAGTGACTCCAAATTGGGATGAGGCTTTGAGCACGCCTTTTCCTCCAAGTGTTGCCATATCTTGTAATCTAACGGATTCAAATCTGGACTGGAGGAGGGCCAGTCTTCGTGCCGGATGAAGTCGATTTCACGCGCCGCCAGCCAGTCTTGTGTGCTCTTCGCTCTATGAGCTGGCGCCGAATCTTGTTGGAATACCCAGTGCCTGTTATTGAACATGGTATGAGAAACAGGTTCCACAAGGTTCGTCAGGACTGTATTTTGATACACAACTGCATTCGTTTTTACACCTTTCTCACAAAAATGTACCTCTGTTAAGCCCCAATAAGAAACTCCCAACCATACCATGAGCGAGGATGGAAAATGACCTCGTTGGACACGCGGAATACGGTTGCTCGCTTCTTCACTACTGTGTGCGTACACCTTATCATTTTGTTTGTTGTAGCTCTCTTCTACGGTAAAAAATTTTTCATCCGAAAAAAGAATTTCCCGATATTTTTTTCCCGCGTACCGCTTCAACAAAGCGCGGCATCTCTTCAGTCTCAGGTCCATTAGACGAGCATTCAAACGATGTCCTGTTTTTCTTCGATATGCCCGAAGCCCTAAGTCTTCATTTAACACCCTTTTCACCGTGGTTCTGCTTAACCCCATCTGAAGGGCCAACAGTTTCTGCTTACGTTTGGGATTTCTTTGAATTCGCGCCTTCACAGCTTTTATCACTGCTGGAGTCCTAACAGACCGAGGGCGACCACTTCTTGACCTGTCATCTACACTAGAGTCTTCATTGTATCGTTTGATGGTACGATAAACGAATCTTTTGGTTATATTCAAATTTTTCAGTATGTTAAAAATTTGAATTGGCGCGTAACCGCAACGATGCAACGCAATAACTGCAACACGGTCTTCTTTAAGCGTCCACTCCATATTTAAAAATGAGTAAAATTCTAAAAGTATACATTTTTATTTTCATGAACAATTCGAAATTCGAATTCAATAAACTTTTTTGTGGCCAGCATTCTAAAAGAAAAGTTTTTACTGTTTGACAATACTTATGACCTGACTAGTTATATAATAACAATAATAATGCACCAGTAACATAAGTATGTAGCTTTTTTAAAAGGTATATGGTATATAGCAGAGGTGACCAACTTGATTAAAACCAAGATCTAGGTACTATCTACTGACAAAAGACTCTAAGATCTATCAATGACCTCTCTTGAAATTTAATGAAACAATGTAGCTCAGTATACAAATAAGTAAAATATTTTCTTTTATTAAAAAGATTAAAATAAACCTGAAATCTACCTATACTAATATTACAAAGAGGAAAGGTTTGTTTGTTTGTTTGTATTGAATAGGCTCCGAAACTACTGAACCGATTTGAAAAATTCATTCACTTTTTGGACGCTATACTATTCTTGAGTGATATAGGCTATAATCTTTTTTGAAAAAAATTAGGGATCCTTACTAAAAATCCAATAATGTAACCCAAGGTGTAAAAATATTCTTTACATCACGTGCCCTGCGAAAACTATTGATGATAGAATAAAATAATGTACCACGACTTTGTAGAACACATTATTATTTACAAAAAGTGTCGCGACAGCATATGTCTAACTATTATAGTTATGCTGCAATAAGTATTAATTTATTTAAAAAAATAAAACAACGTCAAATATCGTTGAAATTTTTGATAAAGACCCGAGCGAAGCCGGAGCGGGCCGCTAGTTAAAAAATAAATTCCTTTTAAACTAGAACATGGTACGTACCGTCCCGTTTCCGGAAGAAGCGCATCCTCCGCCACTTCCTAACGGCGGCTTTTAGTTTCTTCATCACCGCACACTTCAATACGACACATAATCTTAGACGCCATTTTCGACATATCCATTCATTAGTATCCCTAGTTCGTGTTCACATTTTCACTCACTTTTAATTCGTAACTAAACAGAAACTTGTTTATTTTTTCACTGTTATAATATCTTACGGGTAATTTATGGAATTTAAAGATTTCAGCTTCGTTTTTTTTTTGTGGGCGGTGGTACCTACCCGTGTGGACCCCACCGCCGGACAAGAGGTCCTACCACCGGTAGCTTTAAGCTTTCGTTTAGTTTATATAATGAGGTTCTTGTAATATCTTCGTAATAAAATAATAGAGCAAATATTTTTACACACATCATCTATGTGGGCTAGGACTGGTGATACTAACCCACGGTGACACGTCAGGCTTGAATTCGCGGTCGGAGTCGATATCTTTATTGAAGATAACTGGTATCAGAATTTTATTCCAGACCCCATATAACAAAATACTAGCTAGTATAATATACGATTAAGTACTAATAACGCCTCAGACAGTTACCACGAAAACTGTAGATTATTTGAAACATCACAAAGTACTATTTTTGAAAATGAAATGAAAATATTGAGTAAAAACAAATAGTCGTAAAAGCAGTTTTCATTATTAACTAGGTCACTCGCTAAAACCGATTAAAATAATTTCGGACTTTCCATTTAGACGACGAAATCTTTTTTAATTTAGTTTTAATAAAAAAAAAGTTAAATCGGTCCAATGCCCGGTTTTTTAATTAAGAAACAGCGTACTATGTACTCGTATTTTCATTCGGAGCTCTTAACTTAAGCTAAAGTGCCGACATAAAACTATAATATTTATAGCAGTAGCAGCTTTAAAATATTATCTAACTTTGGAGTAAATAGAGTTGCAGTTATCGTAGTCATCAATATCTAAAAGGGTATTAGTAGCTATAATAGTCGTCGTGGCCTAAAGGGTAAGTAAGGCGCTCGGTGCATTCCCCGGCTTAAAAAAAACACAATTCTGAAGATTTTAAATTTGCATAAACGAAATTAATGTTTGATATGACGCCTATTAGTTTCATGGGTACAGATAAACACAAAACATTCGATCGCCAATTAGATTTCGTGGTTAAAGTTTTTTTTTTGTTTTTTTTTTTGGATCCACGCACGAGCAATTTATTTGTAAATTGCTATTAGGTACCGGCGATCAGGAGAAACCTAGTAGAAATCAGAGCTTACAAGATTTATTTAATTGTATTTACGAGATAAGCTTGCACATATACTTAGTCTGGCCATAAATACTGTTACAATTAAAAATAAACAAAATATTACATTTGAATTTGGAATCTGTCATTTTTATATGATTGCTCATTGAGTTTTCTCATTTTGGCGCGAATACATTGTACAATATTTTGCGATATTAAAATGGAGTGGGGTGATAAAGAGAACCGAATCGCTGTGATTGCATTACACAAAGTAGGTATGGACCCAAATGCAATTTTTAAAACTCTCCATACGCTTGTTATTAGTAAAATGTTTGTGCACCGTGCCATTAATAGGTGCAATGAGACCTCCTCTGTTTGTGACAGAAAAAGATCTGGCCGTCCACGTAGTGTTCGTACGAAAAAGGTGGTCAAAGCAGCAAAGGGAAAGAATTCGAAGAAATCCTGTCCGAAAGCAAAAGATTTTATCTCGGGAGATGAAGATAGCACCTAGAACCATGTCCCGTATTTTAAAAGATGACTTAGGACTTGCAGCCTATAAGAGACGTACTGGTCATTTCTTAACTGATAATTTAAAAGAGAATAGGGTGGTAACATCGAGACAACTACTGAAGCGGTACGCAAAGGGAGGTCATAGAAAATTTTTGTTTACGGATGAGAATTTTTTTACAATTGAGCAACATTATAACAAACAAAATTACCGTATTTATGCTCAAAGCTGTAAGGAAGCTTCCCAATTAGTCGACAGAGTGCAACGTGGGCACTATCCGACTTCAGTGATGTTTTGGTGGGGTATTAGCTATGAAGGAGTGACTGAGCCATACTTTTGTGAAAAAGGTATCAAAACATCGGCACAAGTGTATCAAGATACCATTCTTGGGAAGGTAGTGAAGCCCCTTAACAACACCATGTTCAATAATCAAGAATGGTCCTTCCAGCAAGACTCGGCGCCAGGTCATAAAGCTCTACTTCTACGCAATCTTGGTTGGAAACAAAGGTTTCGGACTTCATCAGAGCTGAAGACTGGCCGTCGTCTAGTCCCGATCTTAATCCGCTGGATTATGATTTATGGTCAGTTTTAGAGAGTACGGCTTGCTCTAAACGCCATGATAATTTGGAGTCCCTAAAACAATCCGTACGATTGGCAGTGAAAATTTTTCCCAAGGAAAGAGTGCGTGCTTCTATTGACAGCTGGCTTCAACGTTTAAAGGACTGTATTGCAGCCAATGGAGACCACTTCGAATAATCTTTTTATACTTTAAATTGTTTTATATTTATGTATTAAACTAGCTTACTGTAAAAGTAATAAATGTTATTTGCAATAGATTTTTTTGATTTTTAATAGTAATACTATTTATGGCCAGACTAAGTATCTATCGGTCCAGCTAAGTAAAAACACTGGGTCAGTGAAAGATCTTCAGTTTGTTGTCCTATCAAAAAACTTTCGGATATCGTGAACGCGAATAATTTCTTTGTCTTCCCTCTTATATCATATTATTGCTTGACATCGACATAGATATTGGAAACGCGCCAACCTTGACATGGTTAGAACAAAAAAAAATGTTTACCTCGTTAATGTGTAGTCTGAAAGCCTTTGACAGTTGTTTACCAACAAAAACAATTCATGTATTGAGTTTGTTTATAAAAAAACAAACCATCGGAATATCTAGCTCAATCCACATGAGTGTGTCTTTGTGTGCTAAAAAACAAACAATCGATGTATCCAAATGCGTGTGTCTTTGTGTGTGTGTGCGTATGTGTTTTTCTTATTGGCGAGGAAATACGTAGTCAAGTCAATAACACAAGAACTTTGATCATGAATCGAAGGTAGCAGTGATTGTTGATGAAGGATTAACGAGCCATGTTTTTTTTTAGTTTTTTTCTTCCATTAGCTTTGCTGGCAAACGAACTCTTGGCCCACGGGACCATCGCAAGTGGAATGCAACCATTGATCTCGTCGCCATGCTGTTCCACCTTTCAAGCCGGAACGCGTGATTACTTCGCCGCGGAAAATCTAAATTTTTTGGCTAAGGCTAGTAGGTTCAAGCGTCGTTTTTGCAACAATACAGAAGAGCCATTTAAAGTTTGAACCTTGGGAAAAAAATATCATAACAATTAAAAAAAACTTCGGCCATTTGAATGGGGTAAACTTATTTGAAGTTCAATCAAAACGTCGAACTGTTGATGCTAATACCAAATACAACGGACCTTTAATTACAAAGATAAATGTCGCTAATTTAGCGAAATGTCGCATAAACAAAATGACATTTCAGAGAGAGAGAGAGAGAGAGAGAGAATACACTTTATTGCACACCAAAACACAATTTACATTCAGAAAACAATAAAAAAAACAGATACATTTGTACAATAGGCGGTCTTATCGCTAAAAGCGATCTCTTCCAGACAACCGTTTAATTTATAGAAATTCTGGAAAATATAAAAAAATATAGCAGGTATGTTGCGGTGTACTATAGATAATACATTATAGAAAATATATACCGTTTACATATAATATGAAATATATACCAATATACATACTTACATACAATACATACTAATATACTTATATACACATAATACATCAACAGTATGGAAATAATAAATGATGATGCAAACAAACAGCACTAAGCAGATAAGTAGTGTTCCTTCACCATTCTTTTAAAACAGTTTAAAGTTTGAGCACTTCTCACTGCATCCGGCAGAACATTCCACAATCGAACCGCCTGGACGGTGAATGAATGATCAAAGAATGATGATGAATGCGCCGGCATTTTCAGTCTCAGGCTATCCGATGATCTCAGAGAAAAATTATGCGTATCACCTAGGAACTCGAAACGTTCTTTGAGATATATGGGGGCATGGGGTTAAAGAGAGTACAGTATAGTAATGAAAGGACATGAGTATTGCGGCGAAGGCGAATTGGTAACCACTTGAGCTTATTGCGAAATTCAGATACATTATCATATTTCCGTAAACCAAATATGAATCTTATGCAGAAATTTTGTAGCCGCTCAAGTTTATCAAGTTGTGTTTCAGTTAAATCAGTATAGCTGGCATCGGCGTAGTCAAGAATTGGAAGAAGGAGAGATTGTGCAAGCGCAGTTTTAGAGGCAGTTGGAAGAAAATTTCGTAACCGTCTCAAAGACCCCTCGATATAACAATTAAATGCAAGTAATATAACCAAAAACGGATAATGTACAAGAAATCCTAAAAAGACAGAAGTCTCGATGGCACGTTGCAATGGATATATGGAGATTTAGCCTGAGGGCAGTTGACGTCAGATAGGGCTATAAAACTTATGCCAATTTCCAATGCAGCATGAGGCAGGCTACGCCGAATGCGTCGTCGTATTTGACGCAGTAATGCGTTTCGGTTTGAAGGGCAGGGCAGCCGTTGTAACTATACTTGAGACCTTAGAACTTATATCTCAAGGTGGGTGGCGCATTTACGTCGTAGATGTCTATGGGCTCCAGTAACCACTTAACACCAGGTGGGTTGTGAGCTCATCCACCCATCTAAGCAAAAAAAAAGATTATCCAACTTTAATGTAAATAGAATTGCAGTTATTCACTCGTGGTCATCAATATATAAACGGCGTTAGTAACAATAGTAGTCCTCATGGCCTAAAGAATAAGATGCCCGGTGCATTGGTATGTAGCGATGTAACGGTGTTTGAATCCTGCAAACGGGTACCAATTTTTCTAATGAAATACTTAAGAATCGTGTAATAAAAATCAAACCCGCAAAAATATAATTTTCGTAATCACTGGTGGTAGAACCTCTTGTGAGCCCGCACGGGTTGGTACCACCGCCCTGCCTATTTCTGCCGTGAAGCAGTAATGCGTTTCGGTTTGAAGGGTGGGGCAGCCGTTGTAACTATACCTT